TTAAGTATGCTTAAGAGTCGCATCTTTATGCTTTGATCCTTGAGCCAATTGGCATGCATGTTTGCCTTGCCTTTTCATGCTTCTCATACCATCTTTTCATCACTAATGGCCACCGATTTGGGCATGGCTGAGGTCTGCCCATTTTGGTTTAAGTCCACTCTCGCATGTTGTTGCATGCTTGTCTTGCATATTGTTGTATGCTCGCTCCATCTTCACATGTTGTTGCATGTTTGCCTTGTATGTTGTTGCATGTTTATTACATACTTGGTACATTGCATTTTATCGCATGCTAGTTCCATTACATGTTGTTGCATGCTTGCTTTACGTTATATTACATGTTTGCCATGTTTGTGTTGCATTGTTGTGTGGATTAAGTATTAATCTGAGCACGAGAAACGAGGGACGTTTCATACTTCAAGTGATGAAACATGTCTCAATTCTTGGTCCCCGACTCTCTTGATCACACATGATAGAGCTTTAGGCTTTATATGTTTATTCGTGCATTCATTTTACATTGATTTGCACAAGTTGAATCTTTGGCCATCATGCATCGGGATGCGTGATTGATGGTCGTGGATCCGACTATGCTTCTCCCTTGATGTTTTGAGGTGATATGGAGTGACATAGTGCATACATATCCTTGGGAGACCCTCCATTTTCTCTATTTTGTGCCCTGCTGCAACTTGGTGTCATAGCACACTAATGGCCGGCACCCTCTTGTTGTTGGCCACCAGTCTTTCATTCTTGGCCGGCAGTACCTGCTCTTGGTCGACAGGGGGGTCAACAGAAGCTCCTCATGGCCGGCAGGCCACTGGTGCACTCCTCAGCACTGTTTTGGTGAGATCCAGCAGCTAGTTCTCAAGGACACCTTGCAAATAGAGCCTCTTAAGAGCAACCGGAGAGCTTTTCAGGACGGCAACCGAGCATGCATCCTCTTCTCCTTCAACCAGCGCTGGAATAGCATTGTTTACATATTTTAATGCTTACTTGTTAGTTAGTATTCAAATTTGTAATTAATTAATTAATTTGTTAATTAATTAAGTTTTGTAATAATTAGTTGTAGCTAGTTATTCATTTGGTTATGTAATAATTAATTAGCTTGTCAGTTAGTTAATTAGTTGGCATGTATTATTTATTCGGACCCTCCGTCGAGAGGGTGAATTGTTGTAATAAGTGTGCGTGCGTGTGTGCATGTCTTCCAACCCCATGTCTTTCTCCCTTTTACTTACTTGCTTTCAATAGTTAGTTTTAGGTCATGTTTCAATTAGCATCTTTACGCTCGCATGTTTGCATCATTCATCTGTATTGCATGCACTGGGCTCGGCGCATCATACTAACCGCGTAGTATTTCAATTCCAACTTGAATACGTGTATCGAGTTGTCGCATTTCACATGCCATTCTTGGATAGCCGAGCCTATTTCTAGTTGCATTTTGCATGTGTTGCATTAGTCATCTTAACATGAACTAGGATCATGCATTGATTACTAACTAGCTATTGTTTTGGCTCGGAGTACTAGGTAAGCTTTTATGCTTTAGCATACTGCATGTGTGTTATTGATTGACATGATAGCATGCTTACCATGAGGCTATTTGCTTAAATGATATAACTGCCTGAATGCCTATGGGTGAAGGTTGGATTAATTGAATTGGAACAATTCATCAAATCCCTGATTTAGCTTACTTGCGAGTAGCAAACTTCAAACCATTTTCAAACAAATATGTAATGTTTTGTTCCAAATTAGGCGATCTAGTCTATACTTGTTTGCTATACGCATCACTCAGTAATACTAGCTAATAACCGGAATAAGAACGCATGTGTTTTAAAAAACAAGATATCATGCTTAGTACATGCCGATCTTTGATCGGGC